TATGTCTTCCGGGCTATTAAAAAAGAACAGTGATTCTTTTCCTCTGAGCAATTTCTATGGTGTTGATCGTTAAATTACGCATCAAGACTACTGTTTTCGCTTGAATCCAATTTTTCAGTTAAAGTAATCCCCAAAAGTATCGCTTTTAAACTAGTGAAGTTTATCATTTGTACTTTACGAGTACAGATGCATGAAAACTAAAGACACTGGGACTTATTCTTCGACATTGAATATATCTTTGAGGATTATTTGCATCCATAGGTGCTAAGATCTTTCTGTAACTACAGAAGTCCCATTTTTAAATTTTTTGAAGTTTTATTTACATATAAACATAAAACAAATCTATGTCGCAATTGAAACATCGTTGTGGTGGACCAGCGTGCTATTTCCCAGGCGATGAGGGGGTGCAATGTGATAATTACAATAAGTGGTATCACAGTATGTGCACGTGACTCAAACCGGCTACATATGAACGGTGCTGTAAGCCATTATCATGTTGGTTGTGTAAAGAACGTCGTTCTACCAAGTCTCTGCTGATCCTAAAGGCGATCGAGCTGCTAAACATAGCTAGAAAATTGTCCTCTGATAAATGGGCAGCAGCAGATGAACAGAACCCTGCTTTCAAGGAAGTTGAGGGCGTTATCATGAGCTTAGCTCTAAATTTAAATTAGACCATAAAGGTATCTCCCATTGGTTTGATCTTTGTTCCTATGTTTATAAATAATTTTCCTGATTGGTTGATAAATTGGGTTGATTTCAATGTGCTTGTTGATTGCTGATTGACATGAGTGTCTAACTCTTAAAAATTCTCCGGTGTTTTTGGAATTTCCTCCATCCAAGGTTTCCAAATTTTTCCAGTCAAATAAGTTTCATCAGTTGTCCACGTGCATTGATATAAGTGAGGGAATGTCATGGCGTTTGACTGCTGATTGATGTCCATGTAGGCGTCCGCTTTGTCCGATGTAGTGTCTTTTCGCGGTTGGCAAAATATATTTTGTAGACGATGTTTGGTTTGTCTTCTTTTAGCATTTCTTCTTTTGGTTTGAATAGGATTGATTGTAGTGTATTTGTCGTTTTGTGTGCAACGCCTATTCTGAATGTTTTCAACAGTCTCATTGTGCTTTGTGATATGCCTTTTTTCCGTGGAAGGGTGATCTTTTTGTTGATTTCTGTGCTTGACTTTGATTCTGATGATGCGTGCGGCTGGTATTTTTTGATGAAGTTGATTGGGTAACCGTTCTTTTGAAATACGTCCTTCAGGTATTTCTCTTCATTTTTTCGTGCTGCCAGTGTGCTGCAGTGTGTCCTCGCCCTCTCGAACAAAGTGTGTACGTAGTTGATTTTCTGAGCTCTTGGGTTGTTGCTATTGTATAGCTTTATAGAATAGAACAAGAGGTGGATTTTGAAAATCCTCAGAAGAGCCGCCTCTTGAAGGTTACATTTGCTACGGCTGAATAAAGAAACTTGATACTAGGTGATTCACGTAAACTGATTGGTTTCGAAATATATGTCCATGAGGATCTCAACCTAACTGATCGTATCAAGAGACGAGCTGCAGAAGTGGAAGTAAATGAGCGTCGTCGAAACGGTGGAAGAAACCTCGTCCTTAAGGGTGTTCAAATTGTAAACGTTCGGAGGGACACGATCCTCAACCCACTTTGGGTGATAAGGGCAAGCTCTCTACGGAATTAAATGTGTGTTACACAAATGATCGCAGTTTACTAAATAAAATGGAGGGGCTCAAGATAATGGTGTGTAAAGAAAACTCGGATGTTATTGCTGTCTCAGAAAAACAATTAACGTCAGAAGTATTAGATAATAAAATTTGGTTGACTGGGCTTTTTATCCAGTAAGGCTGATAGACTTGTAGTGGTATTGGACCATGACCACACAATCCTCAAAGCTGAACACGAGACTACTCGGAACATAGATATTCAATATTTAACGCGTTAGGTATTTACCTAACGATGGAGAAGGCGCGAACAAGGGGTTTAATGAATTGGGGTTGATTGGATGGCTTGGCTCGGCCATGCGAGCGCGGTCCCTGCGGAATGTTACATTATATCTTTTATTCATATTGAACATATTGTTCTTTCTCTAGCCGAAGCTCGCTCACCATCATGTATTGGTAATTGTTACGATACAGTGAGTTGGTGTAGACGATGATGTAACTTCCACGTAAGATCTCATAGACTAGGCAGTTACATCATGACAAATCTACAATTTTAGGATTAGGTCTATTATTAGAGCAGTACTAGTATCATAGTAGACCATAAGTCTACAGATTAAACCCTAGTGCAGGCGGGGTTGTCCTGTGCACGAAAAGTACCCTAACCATACGAGCAGTTGAGACAGTGGCACATGATTCAGGGACTTGTGAACTGGTGCTATGCAAACTGAAATTTAGACGGCCAGATATTGGATTAGTTGTAGTATATCGCAGTCCAGAATATGTAGTAGGTGATTTCCTCCTGAGCGAAATTAAATCCTGGTTTACTAGGAGTAAATGCCTTATAGTAGGAGACTTTAAGGCACCGTATATAAATTGGGTTAATTTCGAAGTAAGATCATCGATAACGTCATTCGATTGCAAACTGTTAGAAACCTCGATTTTATTAGCTTTATCCAAAAACATTGGAAACCCCACAAGACATGACTTAAGAAACTCTTCTTCTGTTTTAGATTTAGTCTTCACACACGGTGATGATGTCGGCCAAATGACTTTTCCCCCACCACTAGGGAGAACGGACCATGAAGTCATATAATTCAAATTCATGGCTGGATTGCATGTCAAACAGTTGCCGACTGCCCGATATGGGGGCAATCAACTCCTCTGCATCGACTGAAAGCTGGAAACTTTACTCAAGGGTTTCAGTACAAGAGGCATGGACTTATTTCAAGCAGTTATACAGTGGGGTAACTCAACCATACCCACCCTGGACTGTCCCAAAGAAGAAGAAGCACGACCACCAGTGGATAGGCCGGGATACTCGACGTTTACTAAGACAAAAGAAGAAATGTTGGAATGCTGCTATTAGTTTTGGTACAGCAGGTACTATGGGACGCTGCAGATCGGTAAGAAACACGTGTATAATTGAAATTCGGGAAGCTCAAAGAAACTATGAAATGCAGTTGGCGCAATCTACACTCAAGCAGCCTAAGAAGATATTCTCGTACATAGACTACAGAACAAAGATGAATCATTGGATTCCCAACCTAATCAAAGAAGGGAGTGGATCTGAAATGATAGAGGCAAATCAGAAAAAAGCAGAGGCAATAGCTGACTATTTTGGGGCAGTTTTCACACAGAAACCTCCTGTAGACAAAGAACCAGACACAAATACAGAATCAACAACCCACCTTCTTACTTAAGGCTCTCAGCACCTTAGACATGAAAAAGTCGACAGGACCAGATGAACTACACTCCAAAATCTTGAGACATATTGCACAATATATTGCGGCACAACTGACTGTGATATTCAACATGTCACTTGACCAAGGTGTATTACCTATGGATTTAAAGGACGCACTCATCACTCGCATACATAAAACAGGACCGAGACAACTTCCATTCAACTCTAGACCTGTAAGCCTCACCAGTGTCGTAGTTAAAATATAGGAAAGCATAGTCAGACGAACCATAATGGCATTTATGGAAACCAATAACTTGCTAAACATAGAACAACATGGTTTTAGAAAGGGTCTGTCTTGTACAACGAACCTCCTTATAGCAAGGGAGTTTTGGATGAAGGCGCCAAGCAACAGAAACTTAGTGGATGTTGTCTACATAGACTTCAGTAAAGCTTTTGACAAATTGCCAACTAATAGACTGCTATTGAAGTTGGAAAACCTTGGTATTGCCGGACCTCTTTTAAAATGGATTAAGGATTTCCTAGTAGGTCGTAGACAGAAAGTGAGAATAAATTCCAAGTGCTCCATCTGGAGACCAGTACTAGGAGGGGTACCTCCAGGTTCCATCCTAGGTCCCTTACTTTTTATGATGTATGTTAATGATCTTCCAAATATAGTACAGTCTCCAATGTTATTATACGCTGGCGGTGTAAAGATCTGGCAACTAACAACTGGAGACACAGATACATGTGCTCTTCAGGCAGACTTAAATAATGTGACTAACTGGTCTAAAGTGTGGCTGATGCCTATCAACGTGGCAAAGTATTTATATACACTTTGGGGATCCAGTGGTTAATAGGTACAACATAGGGGAAGTGCCATTACCCGTGGTCAAGTCACATAAGGATCTAGGGGTGACAGTGAGTCATGGTCTTAAGACGACGGCTAGTTGCCGGGACGTCGCATCTAAGGGGTTTCGAACCCTGTGGGCTTTAAAACGGACATTCACTAAGTTAGATACTACCATGTTCACCACAGTATACACATCCTTAGAGGAAACTGGGCTTGAGAACTGCATTCAGGCTGCAAGCTCCTGTTTAAAAGGTGACTCAGATATCCTAGAAGAAGTATAAAGGGAAGCCACCCGTGCAATTCCAGAACTCCGGGGTTTACCATACAAAGAGCGGCTTTAAAAGCTGGGCCTCTTTACTCTATCCTATCGCAAATCAAGGGGAGATCTAATTTTGATGTACAGAGTACTGAGATGTGATTTCGGACCTAACTTCTCTCTTTTTCTTCCCTCTAGATCGGGACATCTCAGAGGACACAGCAGACGAGTAGAAAAGCCAAGAACGAACAAAATGCCTGTGGTATACAGGTTTGCACACCGTCATCAATACTTGGAACCTGTTACCCGAAGCAGTGGTGTCCGCACATTCAATTGACTCATTCAAGAGAAAACCAGGCACTCGCAGAAGCATAATAGAAAGGGAATGACATAGGCCATAAGTCTTCTATCCTTACCACGTAAATCTGAATCTATACTTAGTGAGCGAAGTCTGTGTTTATTCAAGGTTCTAGAAAGTCACTTCTTAAAAGATCAAGTAATGAAGTATTTGCATCTACAAACATACTTATGGGATATATCCCGAAGTGTGAAAAGACTAGTTATTTCTGCTTAACAAATTTGAAGTTTGGATACGATTCATTGGACGATATAAGGCTGTGTACTTTTTAAAGTTTATTTGCAGTTAATGCGCTCATGGATTCTTGCAACAATAAAGACTTTTATAATTGCTGTAGTTGTGCAACTTGCATTTTTTCTGAGTTAATAAAAATTGGTGAGTGTATCCTGAGTTCGTGGTGCACGGACAACATCAAAGCTCTATTAATGAGTTTGATGAGTAATCCTTATTTGAATAAGTTACGAGATGATATTTGTAAACTTGTGGAGTTAAACAAGTCAAAAGACATTCTTTACTCTAAAATGAGGTTATATGGCTGTATGGATTTGAATCTTGCTAGTGACAAACGGAAGCTTCTTTCACCTCAACATATGGATGAAGTTGAGACCCGAGTTATAAATTACTTATCACGTTTACCTCTAGTTTATCAAAGGCTTTTTATTCTATATGTTTTGGTCGGTAGCAGTCCGTCTATGACAAGTTCGATCAGCTCTGAACTTCACAAAAATTCACTACGAAAAGGTGATTTTAAGACTCGGGAATATGAATCTTCAATACAACTGCCATGGAATATCACCTCAAAAATTAAGTCATTTGTTAACAATCAAGAAAAAAAGGTTGCACGTAAAACAAGAGGTAGCTCTTCGACCGAACTTCAATGTACGGTAAGATTCCAGAAACTATCTATAGTGTTATAGAAACATATATTTTTAAAATTCTGGAAACATAGCTCAAGTTATTTTGTAGCTCTCAATAGACATTGATGTACAGTGATCCGAAACCTTTTTCTCGACAATGCGTGTGGTTGCTGATCTGGTTGCGGTCAGTTGTTCAGTAAATATGAACAAACTAGTTCATACATATTGAGGACATGACTTTTTTAAACAAATCGCTAAAATTAACCGATGCAGCAAGTTAAGTTAAGGAACTGAGGCTGTAAAACACTTGGAAGTAGTAGGGATACAGACTTTGATATGTGAACTGAGGAATCCCCAGATTTTGTCAACACGTACTTTAATAGTCACAGTTGGACCATGACTGAAGAGAGAACACACTGCACATACTCGACACATTTAACTGAATTTGAGACTTTATAGTTAGGTATACACAAAACTAACACTAATTTATACAAATGCTGAAGCACGGTTTATGGTCAATAGAAAACGTAAGATTTTCTTTTAAAGTGATTCTACTAAAGTATATGTAAATTCCTCTGACATCTTCAGAGATGATTATTAGTAAGACCTCCAGATTCCTTATAAGTTTTTAAGCAAAAGCTTTGATAAAAGTCCAAAAGCTACTCGAAATCTATGACCAAGAATTTTGCCCAACAATGGCTAGATTTCGGTCTTAGTGATGATGGTATTTATTCGTTCTCTCAAATATTCACTCTCACTGATTCTTTTAAATTTTTATTCCCGATGTTCACTTTTTACTTCATTAAGTATTGTCATTTATACATTCCTCAAGACTCATCTTGTCAACTTCCCCTTTTGCTCTTCCATTGCGAGATGCTTCAACTTAGGCCAGAGAACTTTTTTTGCCAGCTTTCACCTTATTTGCGGCTGTCTAACCATGTGTTTGTAGTGCTACTGAATTTGGGTTTTTTATAGATTAGGAGGAACTTTCGGAGTTTTTTTTTACCATGATAAAAATGCTAGATATTTAAGGAAATATATTTCTTGCCACAACTTATTTTGGAGGTAATCCTTAGCTTGTCTTCCTCTGTTATTATATTTCTTCATCTCATAATATTGATTTCAGCGATTTCGTAGGCGTTTGAGTAACATATATCCCTAGAGGCTTCAGTAACCTGATTTTAATCTCTGAGAAGTTTGCAGGTAAATCATAATTATTCTTTTTCTGACATCTGCTGTTAATTTTGTACATGGTGATGGGTTTGATGGGGATTTATTAACGAAATTTTGCATGTAGCCAAATACTTCAAATACTGAATTAATCAGTAGTTTTTCGAAATCTCTGATAAATACTTGCTATGAAGCAGAAAAACTACACACCATTTGTGGTTTGTAACCTTTATTTTAGATCATTTACATATACACCCTACATTAGTTTGTAAGGAAGGAGCTAAATTATGATGAACTGACTGATATTGTTTTATTTAATTTTCAGTCATCACTGTTTCGAGTTGATCCACACTTTATGAGATACACATTAGTACCAGTTCCTGTATGCCCAATTCAGTTGAGAAGTAAAATTTCAGGTGAACCAAACTCTGGGTTATTTAAGGATCCGCGGATAGTTACAGGGAGTAATGATAATACATGTAGCCAAGGGAAAAAAATGCATGTAAGTTTTTACCGAAAATTTGATCTGTTTTGTTTTTATCGATTAAGAACATGGTTCTTATTGTTCTTATCAATCATGCAAAATTAAGTAGTGGATAAAACTGTAGCAAGCTCGTATAATTTCTTATTACCTACCTCTTGTAACTTAGACAATTAACCCACCATGTAAAAAGTATGTATGAGTTTGATTGAACACATGTCTGCACCTCAATTTTTGTCTGTCCTCCTAATGGTTGTTAAAAAAGACACTCAATAACTTACTCACAAGTGGTTAACACTCACAAAATGTCTAAGGATATTTCGGCTTTTTACTCTCACTCGCTTCCCTGTATGCATGTCTTTTGCGTGCTTGCGGGCTTTATTAATCATTTGCAATACACTATTCCAACAACTGGTGTTCCAGCTCCTGAATATTCTCTGGTAAATTCATAGTAATACTCGGAGAACTGGCTTGCTAAAATACTTGATTAACGGTATACCGTCTATTGGGGTTAAATAAAGAGGAATAGGCCTCTACAAAAATTATAAACCATGTAGATGTTAAGCCTGCATCTTCACTTCAAGAAAGTGTCAAACTCCCAGCAGTTATCTGTATGTGTCAAAAATTTAAATGAGATGAAAAAGTACTCACTATTAGTTCATTTCAAAAAACAATGCTCAGGTTTTACGTGTCATATTATAAATGAATTAGTCTTTTTATAAGCAATGCTTTAATCTAGATTTAAATGATTTTTTGGTATGTACCTTAGTGAAATTGTGGTTTGTTAGTTCATGTGTTTGGTTTTCAGAATCTTGATCACAGGTTTGAAAACTGATATGTTTATATTTCTTTTTACGAGCTAGAGTTTAAATAAATAAATCATCCACAAAGTATTTTAAATATCCTAGTTTCAGTAGCAATTGTTACTGGTATGTATAAAGTAACTTCATCTGAAGTTTCGTCAAAAGCTATTGCCTGTCCCAAAACCCAGTTAATAAAGAGGGCGGGGCGTAGAGTTAGCAACCTCACATAGTATAAAAGAATTTCGCTACGAAATCGCTATGTGTGAAGCGACTGAATTTCATTAGGATGATTTGAGTCAGGTTTATTTTTATATTATTTATGTTGCATATATTATGCGCTCTAATGACAAAAATTGTGTTAGTAAACGTAGGCGGTTATTTTTTCTTGTAAAATATTGCTGGATTGAACAAAATGATAAATAGATACATTTAAAACTTCCATAAATAAGCTGAATGTTTTATTGAAAGTGGTCTTCGAAAAACTTGTAAAGTAGTATCACTTTTATATTTGACGAGGGTTTGATTCATTTGAATGATTACTAAAATTCAGGAAGGACTGTAACATCTCATTTCGAGATTTCAATATTTCGATCTATCAAACTCATACAAGACAGAACCCTTGCATCCTACGTTTAGAAATGAGCAGATTTATGGTTTATTCAATACATATGAGTGAAATTTTCTAATACGTACATATTCATTCAGAGGAATATCCAATCGTAGTAAGTGGCATTGGTGATGAGTATTTTAAAGGTAGACTATCTTAGAGTATAATTCTTCTACTCATTGCCTGTGTAAAAAGAAAAGACTCCATATGAGGAGATGTCTTTTCTAGAGGACAAATAAGGTGAAATATGTGTGGTGTTGAATGATCTCAGAACCGAACAAAACGGCGATTTGTTATCGGTGGATAATCTGATATTATGTTAGAATTTATATTGGCTAATGATAAGTATATACAAAATTAAATGTCTAGTCTAGTTGACTTGTCCTTTTAAAGTTGAATTAAAAACATATTTTTCAGCTTATAAATAGTAATTGACTTTCTAAAGAATACTTTTATTTGACCTTGAGTAAAGTACTTAAAAATTGTATAAACATTGTAACTTTCACTAAAGTTGAACAGAGAATTGGACTCTTTTTTTTCCACCAAGACAAAATCATTGAAATTTGCTCTAATCGGTGAATTATTGAAAATGTGGTCGATAATTTTTACTTATTGTTCCGAACAGAGAAGTTTTATTTTGATCTTGGTCATCTATGTCAAGGAGTATAAAAATTGATTTTTAATGGTTTTATCTAACATCATATATGGTATATTCTATACAGTCGAATGATTGTATTTAGGATCCATTCTGAATCCGTGAACCAATGAAATTTAATTAATGATAAGGGCTACTGTATAGTATTAGACCTTTCCAGATGACCAATTCATGATTAATTATTGCGTTAATATTGCCTATCAAGCTTAGTTTCTCTACTCTTAGTGTAATTTGAAGATCTGTGGTACGTATGTCGTAGATTAGTGGGTAGGTCGTATCCTAGACGTTTTGATATTTCTGCATTGATAGTAATTCTAATGTATTTGATGCAAGTATTTGTTCCATGCACATAAATTACTGTGTAACAGATAATCTTATTTCTTCTTTTACCAAATTATCATGTACACTGAAAGATAATATTAAAAGCATTGGAATTATGATGTTAATTGGAAAAGTACTGTACAACTGCCGTAATAAAATATTCATATAAATGAGATTTCAAAAGTAATTAGATTTTTCAGTTTTCTTTCCAATACTTCTTGATTTCATTTTATTTATTGCTGTATTTTCACTTGGCTACAATAAATTAAACTAAATTGATTAAACTTAGAGATTTAGACTAGTGAATTCAAACATAATGATGTGAGAGTTAAAAAACTCACAGCCAAAACTGAAGGTAATGAATTCAATCCATGATAGAGTTTTGAGTGTTCACTATTCAGAAGTTTTATTTTAAGATGAAAAAAATTACCATCCAGTGCTTCCTGACTTACAGTAATTCTGTAGTTTGTATCAATCTATGACGAAAACAAATTTCGAACTCAGTCAAGGTGAACTAACTCACAAGTTCCACTTTCATAAATAGTCAATCAATCATTTGTTTAAATCAATAATTTGTTATGAGGGAATTTTTCTATTTTTGTAAAACCATAGTCTGATTCATCTGATGATTGGAATGATTTAATACAAAAATCATGGGATTCAATATCGTATGAAATAAAACAAGCGTATAATAAGATAAAAATACGATATGCTTTGATGTTTGAAAGAAATATCTACTGTGGACCATTTAGCATTTATGTATTGTTAGAAAGGTAAGGACTTTATATGGGTAATATTCAGTATTGATAAAGTAAAGATGTAGCATTTTGTATTTTTGTTTTTTTTGTTGAGGAATCTTACCGTCTTGTTAAAAATGTGACTTAGATTCCATGTTATAAATAGGTGTTATCAGCTTCGAGACATTTGAATTACTAATAGCTGAGAAATTTACTGAAGAAGTCAAGTCAAAGCACATTTTTCCGACTGATCTACTTATTAGTTTATTGAAAATAGTTGTGTTCTTTTCCATTGAAATAAAAAAACACAACGAATTCTATCTATTATATAAAGGATATATTTAAGAAAATATTAGTAATACTTAACAATAGGGTGTAAATTAAAACCTTTTTGTCTCCATTCAAGCTCATAAATAACGTTTTAGGCTATTCAGTATTGTTGCATGATTAAAAATGAATAGTATTGGGTTCAATGTAAAATTCCTGAGGTTCATTTAAGAGAGGAAATTAAAGTGGCTCACCAATTCAGTGGTCCGGAATCTGACTACATTTTGGACGAACATATGAATATACCATGAATACAGATCTTCCGTTTACTTCCTTATGTTACACTTAGGCTAACCCCATTTGAGTGATGGCGATAGTAAGGAGCCAAACACAAATTAAGTTGGATTGCTTTATTTCATTCAACTGTTTACGCAGACATACGTTAAAATGAGAAGCAGGTAAACAAAGAGAAGCGGAAAAGGCAAGTGTGCCAATTCCCTTTGATAAAGCGTGATTTACTATTTATAGTCAGATAAAAATTAGCTAAAGAAATAATGAACTGGGCAAATGAGACACATACGCTCAAATAAAAACAGTCATGTTATAAGCGAACAACTGACAAGTTCAAAATGTAACTTGCGATGAATAACTGGTCTATCCGAATGCTAGAATAGTCCATGTAGGCGTTGCATGGTACCAGGCCCCACACAACGAACTCAACTATAAGAATGAACTTTTATTTCGTTTTATAATCGAGATCATAACATTTGAATTGCAAAATTTTGCAAGACTTTATATTTTTGGCAAATGTCTGACTCCTTTATAATCAGACAATATTTACGCTAATGTAATGTATATCCTACTTGACTTCTTATGTATTCCGTCGATTTAGCACATTTAGAACAACGGTATATCAAAAGTCTAATACGAATTATATTTAAGGTACATATATTTCAGGCATACTAGTATGTTGAATGACAGATTAAAGATCCAGAGACTATATACGTCATTGAAGTTCACTAATAGACCCACTAAGAATGGTAAGGTGACTTAGTTCTTATAAATCTTGTAAGAAATTCAAAACATGAATAAACACATACATACTATCATAAAACCATAATCAAGGTTACATGATTAATTGACAAAGTCAATTAAATGAGTGACTGAATAAATCGGAAGATTAGAATTGTGAAAGAGTTTTGGCCATAAAAATGATGAATAAAGTTAGAAAACTAAGTAATTGTAACGCCTAACTTTGTCAACAGATTTACATTGTATAAAAAAACTAGTATTTGATATTATAGAAAGTGTGATTCGATTATCTATGTCTGAAGGGGTTTTGTGGAGATTTTAGAAATTTCACTGGTTGAAATCATGAGTCAATTGAAGCTAGAACACCATGGATAACCTGGAAGCAATGGACGGCCGTTTCGTTCTATCATGGGACTCCTCAGCAGTGGGCATCAACGATCCCACCCCGCCCGATTCGAACCCATGACCTATCAGTCTCGCACGCGAAACTAGTAGGTCCGGGGTTCGAAGCTCGCAGGGGGCGAGGTCTTGGATGCGGACTGCTGAGGGGTCCCATACTAGGACGAAACGACCGTTCAGTGCTTCCAGGTTTTCCATGGCGGTCTAGCTTCAATTGACTCATGATTTCAACCAGTGAAATTATCTATGTCTGTTCATTAGATTTATGTATATATTTTGATATCTTTTTAGGAATTAAACAGGACATTATATTCATTGAATGTTTCATTAAAACAACTTACTTTTGTTACATTAATTCAATGATTTAATTATTATAGGCAACCAAATCAACCATTATGCAAACGACGTGTAATACATGTAGATAATAGAAGTCATTGGTTAGCTCATTGTGAAGGACGATCTCAACAACGTACAATTAAATTTATAGATATTACTATGAAGTCATTTTGTGAAAAATCTTCATCTAATTGCATTCATAAACAAAATGGTAATGTTAATCAATCCGGTAGTACTGCTGAATTTATGTAAGTAACTAGTAATCATTAATTACAAATTAATTATAAATAAAAACATAGTCACTAAGAGAGAGCATAGAGAATGTCTAACTGTGAATAAAAAGCCTCTGTATATTCGCTTATAATTCAGAGATGATGCACTGAGTGAAATTCTAAGACTGAAGTTCAGCAGACCTGTTATTATTATTATTATCTTTACCATTATTATTATTACTATTATTATTATTATTATTATTATTACACTTGATAACCTTTTTGAGGAATTTATTCAGCATCCACCCCTATCTACTATATCACCCCCAAATGCCCTGGTACGGCCGAGAGTGGGGAGAGTCCGCTACCCCTCTCGAAATGCTCTCACATGGTCACGCGTATATAGCCTATGCCAGGGAAGTCCTACTCACTGCATTGTCGTGACGGGGGTGTCGTTTAGGAAATTGAGAGGACGGAAAGCGAATGTCCGGTGCTTTAACCGGGTTGGTGGACATGTAGAGTCCACCTAGGGGAGTTGGAAAACCCTGATTCCAAACCAATGGTGCACGTGGGCTGCAGTATGCTAAAGGAAAAAATAGCGTATGAACCAATCGTTGGTCACCAGCTACCATGGGACTGCATCTTCTTACGATGCTTCACTTACTTGTGGATCAGACCTTCAGGTCGAAGGCTCCGGGTGTGGTCCCCTAAGAAAACCACCTGCTTCGGTCTGGGCACTCGGGCAGTATCACAGCCTTCACACATATCAAATGAGATTTGCATGGCGCATATCTATTTGGTGTCTCCTTGTACCAATATCTATGTGTTAGAAATAAAACAAATAAATAAAATCTACTATATCTGACCTAATTCATATTATTCTACATATTACGTACTTTCTGATTTGTATTGGATTATTCTCTCTCTCTCTCTCTCACTTAACGTTGACCATATTTATTCTGACCATTTATTCTTACCATTTCATTTCACTTATAAACTGATTCAAGTCGACAACTTCATATTAGTCAGCTTCAACATTAACGATATGATTCAATTTGATATAACAAACAACAATCCTTGATTCACATATTCACAATTTGGAATGATGTACTGTGCTTTAAATCTGACTAATTTTATGGATTATTCATTTGGATATCAAATAATTATAGAGTATCTGATGAGAAATTCATTGGAATGAATATTCTTCATTCATATCATTGTGTTTTGTATATAATGGGAATATTTTTTGAGCGATTAAACTTAACAATCATTAAAATGTTCTCTCTTTTGTTTGTCTTCTTTTAAACTATACAATCAATTTTATATTTCTATTTCAATATATATAGGGCACATTTAAATCGTGTTTGGTTAATTGGACATGCTGGAAGTGTAAAAACATTATGGTTAGATATTAAACTTCAAATTTTATTATCAGGTAGTTATGATACAAGTATTCGTTTATGGAATCTATCTGATAATAATAATAATAATAATAATAATAATAATAATAATAATAATAATCAACATTGTTTAAATCAACAAACAAATCTATTAAATCCTATAAGTTTTAGAAATAGTCGATCAAAATGTATTAGAATATTTCATGGTCATACAGATACTATACTTTGTATTTGGTTAGATCAAACTAAATTATGGTCAAAATATAATAGAACATCTGAAAAACGATCATATTCATCTTATCATTCAAATAATAGACATAATAATAATAATAATAATAATAATAATCCAAGTGATGATGTTAAAAAAGAAGGATTTCAAGGTACATATCAATTTGCAAGTGGTTCAGTTGATCGTACATGTTGTAGTAAGTTGAATTCATTTATATACAACTAATAAATTTTGAAATAGTAACATTATTTCATATATATATATTTACTTACTTACACCTGTTACTGATCATGGAGGAGTATAGGCCGCCCACCTGCATTCTCTATCCAACCCTGTCATGGGCAATGCTTTCCAGCTCTTTTCCGTTGTTGTTCATCCTTTTCATATCTGCTTCTATTTCCCGATCTAATGTATTCTGTCGCTTTCCTCTTTTCCGATTCACTTTAGGATTACAAGTTAGCGCTTACCTCGTGATGCAGTTTGGTGATTTGCGTAATGTATGTCCTATCCATTTCCATCGTCTTTTCCTAATTTCCTCTTCAGTTGGAAGCTGGTTTGTTCTCTCCCACATAAGGTTGTTGCTGGTGGCATCCGGCCAACGAATGTTGAGTATCTTGTGTAGCAAACTATTTATAAATACTTATATCAATTTGATGATGGTTGTAGTAGTTCTCCAAGTTTCAGCTCCATACAGTAGAACTGTTTTGACGTTCGTATTAAAGATTCTCACTTTGATATTGGTTGAAAGTTGTTTTGAGTTCCATATGTTCTTCAATTGTAGGCATGCGTCCCTTGCTTTGCCAATCCTTTCCTATATGTCTGTATCTGATCCTTCTTGTTCATCGATGATGGTCCACAGGTGCGTGAAGGATTTCACATCTTCCAGAGTTGGAAGGGTTGGTGTTCTCCGTGTTGTATTTGAGGATCTTGTTTTTTCCTTTGTGCATGTTGAGGCCTACTAATGCAGAGGCTGCTGCCACACTAATTGTCTTCGTATGCATTTGTTCGTATATATGTATGTTTATTCTTTCACAAGAGTTTACAAGTATAGAAATAAATTTTAAAAAATAATCGATCTCGGATATGCATTTTTTAAAGCCAGATTATTCAACTAAGTAAGTGATTTTAAAAGCTGCTTCTTGATAACGAAGTGTTCAAGAATAGAATTATTCGTCGTTTTACATTCATCATTGAACAAATATAAAAGATACTGCTTTGGAGAATAGAAAGTTTTTCTTAGTAATTTCATTAATGGGTTTTTGAATATTTGCTATGGTACCACCTATGAACTCAGAGTTTATGAACAAGGTCTTCTTACATTATTGTAATTGTCATTTACGCTTGTTGTTTGAGCTTCAGGTTTCTGTCAGTGTACAAGATAGGGCATAAATTTTAAGCGATTAGTCGATGTGATTGTCCAAAGATGAATGAATAAATGGGAAACGACTAGGAAGTTATTACCAAGCATTCGAGTGTCAGATTGATCACAAAAGTAAGTTTGAATTGATCGATTAATATTATTAGGTTTCGCCTAAGTAGCCAAAACATAAAGACATGTAAAACATGATGCAAGTGAAGTGATAAAAATGAACAGGCACCTATTAGTTGAACATCAAAAACCAATTTACAACCATATTTCAAAACACTAAGTTTTGAATAGATTTAGATTTTCTTTATGTTGATTAATAGTCCTGAGATATCAACTCTGCAGTGCAGATACATCCTACTGACAAGTTTAAAATAGGACAAAACACACGTCCTGGATTCCACTGTTAACCATCATTCAACTCTCTTTATAATTAGAAATAATGATTTCATCTAACAATGAATAGGATAAAATACTTTCTATGTTTACTCTTCTAGTTCATTATCTTTTAAAGGTCAAAGATGATTTAGTTCATTTAAAGTTATTTTCAAGTATTTAGATTTCTTCAAAGTAGAAAAGCATCCTTTTATTATCTTGTATAGTTCCCTTCTATTATAAAATATTATGCTTTTATTCAGTATTATTTTAACAATAATCCAATTAATAGTATTTGATATACTACTTAATAGATTTTTTGTTAAATTAAATGATCTTTTTTGTTATACTTGTGAAATATTTTAAAGTCTGGAGATTAGATGAACAAAAACCATTATGGATTATGAAACATTCAACTCCAATCACATCAGTAGGCTTAAGAGGATACATTTGTACAACTGGTGAACATAGTGGACGTATAAATGTATGGAGAATTGGTAATAAAAAACCAATTTTAATAAAGGTTAATATTACATAAAATAATGAATACTTACAATCATATTTATAAAATTAGTTAGTTATTAGTTTTTAAACAAAGATTTTTATCATTCTGCATTGAATGTATGACTAAATACAATTGATTACTGCATAAACTGTAACAATAATGATGATTTTTGTTGTTGAAACTATAATAATCGAATAGAAAATGAATAAATTATAAGTAAAGATGGATAGTGATTAGCAGTGGGATACAGGATGGGCGTTTCGTCCTATTTGCGACTTGTCAGTACCTGTCGGAATTCAGTAGCTGAGTGGATAACACGATAGCGTTTGAAGTGAACAGTACTGGGTTCCAGTCTCAGAGTGAACATCAACTCTGAGATGCAGGTACATTCAGCTGATCAGTCCCAAATAGGATGAAACACGTGTTTTAAATTCCACTGCTAGTCACTATCCATCTTTGTTTATAATGCTTGTGAATTAAGGCAATCCGCACAGTATGCACATATGCCAATAAGAGAGAGACTGATCAATTACAGTCCTAAGCATTAATGGGAAGATTCAAGTAAATAATACCAAGTGAATTTAATGAATACATTGATTTTATTTATTATCTTCATACCAGAGTACCGTCTAGTTGTAAGTGGTCCTCCAGATAATAATACCACGATACTTAACTCAAATAAATAAATAATAATTTAGTTAAATAATTATACTAAAGGTTGTAAGTAAAGTTGTACGCTATATTTAATCGGTACAAAAATAATCACTGATATAAGATACAATTTATAATACTTTTTTCTCCCTCTCAGGTATACTTCGATATTATGTTAATTCATTAATTAGACTAATCTCGTTATAGAAGAACTAGGTTTCATTATACAAAATAGAGAATCAGATTCATACTAGACAATACCTTATCTAATACAAGTACAATCAATCACACACAGTTGGTTCGGAGTAGAAATCAAGGAGAGGGATGAGAATCACATATTTAATAGTTAGTTGGCTAAGTGCCTGCTTGTTCACACTCAACGATCAATCACACTTTACTTTCACTACCAAACAATTACACTGATTTAAATTATTTATGTCTTCATTTTACATGAAATGATAAACCCAACAAAAAAACAAAGTAAGGGGTTATGGAGATTACTAAGTTTTTGATTGAGATCATGAACCGGTTGATATTAGACCACCGTTGCAAACCTGGAAGCACTGGAAGGCCTTTTCGTCCTATTGTGAGGCTCATCAGCAGTGCGCGTCCACAACTTCGCACGCGTGACTCGGACCCGGGACCACCGGTCTCAAGTGCGAACGCTTAACCTCCAGACCACAGAGCCGTCATCCATTTTGAGCCATGACCAGTGGAGTCCAATCCGTATCGAATGTGAAACAATCGTCCACCTCAGACAATGGATGAAAGGTCATTAACACCGTTGGTTATTGGCTCAGTGATCTAGAGGTTAAGCGTTCGCGCGCGAAACCAAAGGTCCTGGGTTCGAGTCTTTTGTTTGGGATCGTCCGAGTAGTCCCATACTAGGACGAGACGGTCATCCGGTGCTTCCGGGTTTTCAACGGTGGTGTAGCTTAGATCGAATCGCAAATTCAACTTTGAAAACATTAGAATAATATTCTACGGCGATCTACATGTGTTATACTGAAAGAATAACTTGTTACAAACTTGAATAATATGCAGAAAAGATAATCAAAAACGTTTTTTGATGATACACAGTTGAATTCTGTTTTATTAACATCATTATTATAACAGGTATTGACTGGTCATACTGATGCTATTACAGCGTTACGGTTCGACAACTATCATTTAGTCACATCATCCAAGGATAAATCTGTAAAAATATGGTCTATAATTGGAGAATTCTCCGACTGTATAGGTACATTAGTGCATACTGGGTAAGTGGATTGTAACAATTAGGGTACTTTTTTATTTAAGTTTTCTAAATCTTCACTGTGATCAAATCACGGTTCTTTCTTTATATTAAACCCGAAAGTGATGAACGGCAGTTTTGTCTTAGTTTGGGACTCCTCGTCAGAGCTCATCTACGATTCCACATGCGGGAATGAAATCCAGTGTTAATCTCTGTCGAATCAACCAATTATAATTGAGTTAAACACGCACCGCCTAAGTCCCATTTAATCTCAAACCAATTATTAATATGAATCTCTTAATTTAACTATCAATGATGAAGTTGCACCAGTTAAGTAAGAATGACTAACCCTTGTTTTTACTTCATTATGTTGTATCCCTGATGCTACTTGGTATACGCGCGTTTATTTTTCTCTTTGTAACTGACTAGTACTTTGTGTTTTTGCACTAATTGTATTAAATTAGATTTTAAGATCAGATCATATTTGTTGGATATATACATAGCTATTTGTTTTGACTAGAGCCCTGCTAAGACTTTATGTGCGACAGTATAGGTACTTACTCAAGAAATTCATTCGTAGGTAATTCATTCCTACACCCATGACCTTCGGTCTTGCTTACAAAAGCTTAACCTCTAGATTAATATGTTTAATTTATGAAGAAATTCAGTTGTATAATGAAATGTACTCTATGTAGCAAGGATTATGACTTATAACTCTGAACAATTTGGAAGTAATAAATGTTTAGAAACTAAAAGTTAGTAGCTAGTAAGGCGTAGAATAATTACATAAATAATTGGTAACAGATACTAACTTAGTTCAACAGCGTATTAGTAAATGTCATTACGAAATAAGACCGGGTTGAAAATTGTCTAAAGTCATGCAGAACTAGACAAATGATTCATCCAGGATCAGAAATTCGATAGAAACCAGAACATCCAATTTTTGAAGGTTTATTTTAAATGAACTCAGTTGATTTTTATGTGACACACAATATATAAGTTCCGTGATAATAAACTTTTTCAATAATGTATGCATTTGAGATCTATAGGAAAATCATATTGTTACTGTATGGTTTGAATTTCCATTGTCTATTACCATAGTCTAAGTTGTCAGTACTGATTTACTTAGAAATATGTGTTAAATGAAATATTTCAACTATATTTTGCTAATCAATGACTGATTAGCAAGAAATCTTTCATTTCAATAGTTGAGATCATGAGTCAATTGAGGCTAGACCATCATGGAAAACGTGGAAGCATTGGACGGTCATTTAACCTTTAATTATTCAATACGAACTTAACAGTTACATAGTTTGCCAACTACAATATACACATTGATAAAAGAAATTCAGAGAGTAAGGCAAACTAAAGTATATAGTCAATTTATGCATTCTGAAATAATTTGTTCATTTATACTCCAAGTGAATATCAATAATTTTGTTCTCTTATTTAGTGAAGTGTTATGTGTTGAATTGATTGATTTAAGAATTATAACTGGTTGTTCAGATGGTCGTATACGTGTATGGAATTTATTAACTCAACACTGTCAAAGAATATTACCGGGAAATTATCGTCATGATCCAATTATAAGCATTATGCCATTGGAAAATCGGTATATTTTTAGTTTATGTTAATATTTATTGAATCTTTCATAAACATTGAAAGTGTATACATTTTTATAAAACTATTATCATAAGAAAATTCAAGTTCAATAAAAATCGTATTGTGGGATTCCTCAGAAGGATGAAGCGACCGTCCAGTGCTTCTAGTTTTTTCTATGGTGATCTAGCTTCAATTGACTCATGATCACAACTATTGGAATTACTATAATATCCACAAAAAACCTCTTCTGAAAATAATGTACTTCTGAAAAACAAATCAAAGTCTGACCATTTTATTAAGAAGTTTTTATACTTTAGTTTCCCATATAGATATTATAACAAGGATATTTAGAGCTTAAGAGTTAATATTGTCATAATCCTTGATCGTAATATTATAAGGGATTAACTAAAAACATAGAATTCTGTGTAGACTATAATTCTGCTTTTTTACTAGTAATGGAAATATATTCAATCTGGTAGCTCATTTGAAATCAGTAGTTCATTGGAATTTTTATGAAATTTACCATAGTATGGCATTAATCCATATTGACGAATTTTAAAATAGTACAGATCAAGTAGAATACTTAAAGAAAAAATGAAATGGAGTACGCTTGCGTTGTACAGTAATTGAAAATACACTGATGTGTGATATGGTGAGTAAATCAGCAGTAGCTTAATGAGTAAGTCAATCGATGGCAGTCAGAAGTGACTTAAATGTCAAGTATATTTCATTGGGGTCAATTTTCTAAGGATAGAGCAGTATATATGTGAATGAGTATTTGTACGTTTTATTCGGTAGCCTAACACACTTTCTCGGTCACTCTTGTGTTCTAGCCCAAGTAGTCAGTTGAGGGGTTATCGTGTAGCACATCGAGTGTCAGTATCAGATTTCGGACACCTGTTACAACAATGTATCATTATTCGTTTTTATAAAATTCCACTACAGACGAAGAATGAACCTATTTACTTATATGTTGCCAATTATAAGTTATAACGATTTCTCTGAACACAAAGACAGTCATTATTAAAATGAGAAGACTTAGTTTCTTGATAACATCATCATACGATCTCTTAAACCTTGTTTGTTTTTTAGTGATTATCACTCTTAAAAAGTGGTTTTTAGGTAATATATAATACATATTCTATTTTTGCTCATGTAACTACATAATGTTATCAAGTGATCCAACACTTTTACATAAGAATTACATCGTTGAATATTCATATTAATCCTTCAATGAATGAATTAGCGAATATCGATGCTACAGAATAATCGGTGATTGAATTCTATGTATGTTTTTCATGTAAGAAGCATTAGGTAAACTTTTTTAGCCTTATAATCACTTAAAACGTAATGCCATGGCATAAAGATTAACATGTATATGACTTGATTAATTAAACAAACTTGTCTTTGAATTATAAGCAAAGATGGATGGTGTCTAGCAGTGGAATTCAGGAAGTACGTTTCGTCCATTTCGGAACTCGATAACCGGACGTATCTGTATCCCGCAGTTGATGTTTACTTCAGGACTCGAGCCCTGTAGGACGAGACGCGTTTCCTGGATTCCACTGTTATCCATCATTGATCTTTATTTATAATGCTTTTGATTTAAGGCAATATTGAGGTGATCCGCACAGTATGCACATATGTTAATGAGAGACTGACTGATTACATTCCTAAACATCAATGGTAAGATTCAAACAACCAATATACAAATGAATTGTTTATCATGTTTTGTTTTTCAATGTAATTTAATTCTGTTTATTATAGATTAATTGTTAATACACAACACAATATATTAGCTTTAAATTTTGATACTGTAAAATGGGAATATCATGAATCAGTTGAAGATAAAGCGGAAGAATTTTGGCTTAAATCAATTAAGAATAAATCAAATCAACAGAATAACAATTCATTACACTCTAAGCCTAGTTATGCTGAGTCACGATATATTAGATCATGTTTAATTAATTCAGCAGATCCAAGATTTTTTAAACAGTCAAATATGATAGGTGTAAGGCGTAAATCAGGTTTGTACCAAAGAATTTATCTTATAGTCTATGCAATCTCGCTTGCGAGTGATGTTTTGTTTTGTTTTAATCTATCTGAGATAAATAACAAAAACAGCTTGACTCTCATTGTTGAAATACAGGTATTATATCCAGTCAAATACTTAATATACTATGACTTACTCCCACCTTTTACTCTTCATGGAATATAGGCCACCTGTTAGGATTCCCTAACCGACCCCGCCTGTAGCCCTTCTAGGGTTATTGTCAGTCGCAAGCCTTAATCAAGAAGGAGGGTTGGGGATGGGGATAGCAACCTTATCTCGCCGAAAAACACCTGGCAGAAATCGCTAAACAGTTCATATCATGAACTAACTTTATATAAACAAACATTGTAAACTTAACAGATACTAGATAGTTGTTTCACACTCGTGTCAGCTTCCTCAGTTGTATCCACCGACGAACCCATAAGGGTTTAAACTCAGGATACTCAAATCTTGTGTTAAACTCATTACTTTTAAATCTACAAGTTAGCATTAGATGAATCCAATTTCTAAATTTTGTTCAGCTAGTTATTTTGATTGTTTTCATTTTGATTACTGTTATGTTCCTGTAAAAGTTAGTTTTCCTATTAAAACTAATAAAAACCCTGGAAATTTATCCTAAACCTTTGATTAGATTGTTTAAAATGTGTTACCTTACTTTAAGCTCTCATAGTTTACATTATAAAATGATTCATGATGAAACAGATCTTTAGTATTAATATTGAATAGATGAGTGAACATTGACAAAAATGTATCTGTTTGTGTCCTTTTCTAGCTAAATCCAAGTAATCTGAATATTCAAATCAAAATAGTTTTACCTGAATCAGAAAAACTGGAATAAGACTATAGAATTTGAAACTACGCCTTAAGGTTTTGTTTCAATAAATGTACATACTATTAATTCCTACATCATCAGACAATTTAAGTCCTAGGAGTGAAGGTCATGTGTACAACCTTTGAGAAAATATCTTCTAATGATATTGAGTGCCAAAAGTAGTTATCACGTACCAACATGGTTGTTATCAGCAATCAATATTCATTTTTTTCATCTTGATTCTACACTCAAACTAATGATAAGCTTATTTGGCTATTGACGAGTTAGAATTCTACTGACCACACTTCTAATATCTGGTCAGCAGCATCTCCAATCTTATAGATGAATGATTGTGACTTGAATGCCGAAGATGTTATCAATCTCCTTAGCACTGCAGATACGGTTTGTTGAGGAGTGCCATTAATTCTGAAACTTAAGTTCGGGTTTTTTTTAAAAAAAGGAACATTATTATTTTACTGGTTTATTCTAATCGAGTCAAAATCAATATTATTACATAAATGGAAGTAAGAATATTTTGACTGATAGTAGGAAACTTTTAAAGTGTGATCAAGATAATACCATGGAATCAACAGATGGAGTTGTTCTAAACACTAGAACCTAATTTCTTTGGTAACTTTCCTCAGCGTCTGACACTTAATATAATAATAAACTAAATTAAAATGGAATCCTGTCATATTATTTATACAGTGAGTAATGATGTACAGTTTTTTGGATATCGTATGATGCCCGTAATACATGGGAACATTTCTTTCAGATTTTATTTATTGAAATGCATTCGGGCTGTTAATAAAAGAATCTGACACTGGAATCACTAATAAATAAAGTATAAATAAGCCAAACAATGTTCGTTTATGCATATCTTCATGTGATCGTTTGAATGCGCTTATATGATATGATAAACTTATTTTTACTAATATTCTTCAAAATGTTAGCCGGACTCACTAACTAAGTGGATAATGCGATGGCGTTTGAAGCAAACAGTACTGGGTCCAAGTCCTAGAGTGAACATCAACTCTGAGATTCAGGTACATCCAGCTGACGAGTCCCAAATAGGACGAAACGCGCTTCCTGGATTCCACTGCTATATATATATATATATATATATATATATATATATATATTCCATTTATTACAAATGACCCCGTAAAACATTCTAAGCTAACTGAATTCAACATTTCTCAAATTAATCTGTTAGAGATTACCAATATTAACAATATGAATAAATCATATTACTAGTTCAAATTCTAATTCATTACTTGTATTTCTTCTCTACAAACATTTCAGCTTGTCGATCTTTAAGTGAACATTCGAAGTCAAATAGAATAAGTAGAATATCATCAGGGTCATCGATTCAATCAAATTCTAATAGATCCGATGATTTGTTACGAAATAGTAAAAAGAAATCTTTTGAATTTGAATTTTTAATATCACCACCAATACCGGGAACATATGCGGTGAAGCACAGGTTTGATTTGATTTCGTTTTTAGGCAATATTTCTAACTGATATGTCTTGCCGACTTTTTCCAAAATCCCCGTCTTGTTGTTTTGTAAGCTACTTTTTATATTTGGTCGTCACTGATTGTTGTATCGGAAACACTTATCATTTATACCTCTGAAATCCCTACGACGTGAAAGTAAGAACACAAAGACTGGTATAAGTGAAGATTTGTTAACCCCAAAACACGACGATACTAGTCAAAAATACGCTCATTGATTGTGCAAACACTTTGATTAATAATTAGGATGAAAAATACTCAGTTATGACAAATCATATGCTGATCATAGTTCATGTCAATTGAATACACGAATATTGTATGTTATACAGAATAAGTTATCATACGAGAAAACAAAACAAGTACTTCATTGAGTAATCATTACATCGAATCAAAAACGGAAGTAATGTTGAACAAGATTCATAATGAGTAAATCAATCGAATTTTGATTTTCCTTCCCATCATATCACCTTCCCTTCTTTTTTTTTGAAGATTCAAAGTTTAGATTGTGACTTTACCCTCCCCCACGAAATAATGTTGGGTCCTTGTATTCCCAAGTTACAGTTAGTGTGACTCTATTTGAAACAAGACATATCACTAACATAAACATATTGATTTTAATGCTGAATAATAAAGGAATTTTCTTACTAGCTATTAACAGTATTTAATTATTATAAGCAAAGATGGATGGTGTCTAGCAGTGGAATTCAGGAAGTACGTTTCGTCCATTTCGGAACTCGATAACCGGACGTATCTGTATCCCGCAGTTGATGTTTACTCCAGGACGCGAGCCCTGTAGGACGAGACACGTTTCCTGGATTCCACTGCTATCTATCATTGATGTTTGTTTATAATGCTTTTGATTTAAGGCAATATCGAGGTGATCCGCAGAAAATTCATATATGTCAATGAGAGACTGACCGATTACAGTCCTAAAAATCTGTGAGAAGATTCAAATAAACAATACTACGTGAATTTAAACTATTATATTTGCTATTTTTTGGCTTTCAAAATGATAGTAGTTTGGTGCATATTAAGAGGACCCATCTCAAAAGGATTCATATCTATGTTACATGCAAATGAAAATAAAGTCTGATAAGAAAAATTCACCTTTTGTATTAATTATCTTGAGTAGATCTATAAAAAAGAAGTCATTTTAATTTACATATATGTACATTAAAATGTTAGAAAATAGGCCTCATAACCAGTTTTAGGTTTGAAGTTCTTCTCACGAATGCGAATAATAATAATAATAATTTTCGCGCTAAAATCCAAGACCTGTTATCTTAAATCTGATTGATTCATCCATAACTTGTAGTCTTGCCCCTATTTGTTTTTTACTAACATTCTTCAGATATCTTTCAAAAATCTTACAATTCCAGTATAGGGGTTGTGGAGATTATCAATTTCTTTAATTGAGATCATGAACCGATTAATGTTAGACCACCGTTGGAAACCTGAAAGCACTGGATGGCCATTTCGTCCTATTGTGGGACACTAACACCACTGCTGAGGAGTCCCACAATAGGACGAAACAACCGTCCAGTGCTTCCAGGTTTTCCATGGTAGTCTAACTTCAATTGACTCATGATCTCAATCAAAGATCTTACAATATATTTTCTATCCATTATAAATGATCCTTAACATATGTATATTCTGTAAAACATTCTAAGCTAACTGAATTCAACATTTCAGTTAATGGTTTAAGTCCATTAGAGATTATCAATATTATCAATATGAATAAATCATTTTACTAATTCATATTTGAATTCATTATTTTTATTCCTTTTTTATATGTTTCTTCACTATAAACATTTTCTTAATCTATCACAAGTGTTATAAAACGTCCTAAATCAGCATTTGCAGTTACTAAAGAATTAAAACAAAAAGAACGTGAACAATTATTATGTAATAATAATAATAATAATAATAATAATAATCTATTCAATCAATCAATGAAACAAAATATTTCAACTATAGAACATCAAACAAAACAAGTAAAGGTAACAAATGACAACAATACTACTAATACTACTACTGCTACTACTAATAATACTACTAATAATAATCATACCAATATTATTGATTATTCAAAGTTATTAACAAATCAATATTTCTATCAATCATCTTATGATATTAATCAATTTAAATATTATTTATTAAAACAAATTCATTATTTAAAAAGAAATCAATTTCATCATAAACAAAATGTTCAATCAATAAAAGATACTTATATTGATCTTGATATAAAATATAATAATAATAATAATAATAATAATAATAATATAGTAACTAATTATAATGAATTAGATCAATTAGATATATTAATCAATGATAATTTCAATAAATCATATCAAACGAATTCATCAAAAATCCATAAATTACGATCATATTCAGCTCCTTCAATAAATAGGAAATCATCAGATTTTTCTCATTTCAATATACAATTCATGAATCATTGGAAACAAGATAATGAACAATGTATCAATTTAAATTCTATTCAATTACCAAATGTTATTGTAAGTTAGCAACAACAAGAATTCTTTTTGTTGATTGAGATCATGAACCGATTGATGTTAGACTACCTTTGGAAACTTGGAAGCACTGGACGGCCGTTTCGTCCAGGTTTCTAAAGGTGATCTAACATCAAACCGTTCATGGTCTCAATCAAAAACTTAACAGTCTTCACAACCCCTATACTAGCAAAAAACATTTTGTTCAATAATCTTTTTATAAATTCAGTTTATACAGATTTCTTCCATTCGTTAAATATTAGTCAATACAAATTAATTGTATATTATAGTGATTTCAATAATTAAGATTATGAGTCCATTGAAGTTAGACTACCACAGAAAACCTGAAAGTACTAGATGGCCGTTTCGTTCTATTGTGGGACTCTTCAGTAGTGTACATCTTCAACCTCGTTTCGTGTGATTTGAAACCAGAACTTATCAGTCTTGCACGCAAGCGCTTAATCACTAGACCACTGAACCAGATAGCATTCAACTGTGTTATTGTCTAACTTCAACTAATTCATGAAACTGAACGACACATTCACCATTGTCATCAGTGAGTGACTATCTCACTACAGATCCAGTTGAACTGCACTGGTCACTGCTACTCACTAGAACTCTGGGATATACCTCTTGAAGCCGGTGATTGGTGAACATATGTTGATGAATATCAGAAGGGGTTTTTGTGAATATCATAGTAATTTAGATAGTTGAGATCATGAGTCAATTGAAGCTAGACCACCATAGAAAAAGTAGATCTATGTAACAATTAGCTTTTACACTTATAAATATTATGAAATCACTTGGTTAAATAATCTTTCATAGTTTATCAACAAATACATCTCTTCTAAAAATGAGAACTAATATTTATGTTTATTTAATAATGCTAATCTTATTGGTTATAAATTGCCAAGTATTTCTTTCGGTTAAACTGATGACATTGGATTCTCTATGAGTTTGTTTTGTTGGCATAAGTGTTCGAATACAACATGTGAAACAAGATATTCCATGTAAAGAAGACTATTTAGTATCACAAACAAACACATTTTTCAGTTTACAAGTTTATGGAAATTATTCAATGTTATCGATATCAAGAACCGACCTAAGTTAGACATTCATTTAAAGCCAGTAAGACTGGAGAGTGGTTTCATTCTTATATGGTATTCCTCAACAGTACACATCTGAGACTCTATCATAAGAGATCGAACCCGACATCTTTGGTCTCACGCTCCAACGCTTAATTTTTAGACCACTCAACCGGAGTCCAGCGGGATATATAATTTCAATGAATTCACAATATTGCACTACCATCTTTCATTGTCGTAAGTGAATTACTGCCTCTCACTCGATACGTTTTAACTTTACTAATCATAGCTTCTCATTAGAGCTCCAGATATAACTCTCAAAGTTAGTCACTGATGAGCACATGATAATTATCAGTATAGAGATTTGTGGAAGCTATCGAATGATAATGATATCAAACGTGTCAGTTGTGAGGCAGTTTTCCACTAACCACAATGAAATATGATCGTGTAATATTGTGAATTCATTAAAATTAGACATGTACACAATTTGGTTCGGGGTTGGAGACTAAGAAGTTAAGTGTTGATGCATGCTACTTAAGATGTTGGTTTCGATCTTTTGCAATAGAGTCGTTGATAGACTTACTTACTTACTTACTTACTTACTTACGCCTTTTATTCCTAATGCAGCATAGGCCGCCAGCCAGCATTCTCCAACCCACTCTGTCTTGGGCCTTCTTTTCTAATTCCATCCAATTCTTGTTCGCTTTTCTCATGTCCACCTCCATTTCCAGGCGTAATGTGTTCTTTGATCTTCCTCTTTTCCTTTGGCCTTGAGGATTCCATGTGAGGGCTTGTCTTGTGAGTCAGTTGGGTGCTTTCCTCAATATGTGTCCTATCCACTTCCAGCGCTTCTTCCTGATTTCTTCCTCCACTGGGATCTGGTTTGTTCTTTCCCACAGTTGGTTGTTGCTAATAGTGTCAGGCCAACGGATCTGAAGTATTTTGCGTAGACAACTGTTAATAAACACCTGTATTTTGTGGATGATGGCTTTGGTAGTTCTCCAGGTTTCTGCCCCATACAGTAGAACTGTCTTGACATTTGTATTGAAAATCCTGACCTTGGTGTTGGTTGACAGTTGCTTTGAGTTCCAGATGTTCCTCAGTTGTAAATATGCTGATCTTGCTTGGCCGATCCGCGCCTTCACATCTGTATCAGATCCACCGTGTTCATCAACGGTGCTGCCCACATATGTAAAGGTTTTTACATCTTCCAAATCTTCTCCGTCAATTGTGATTGGATTGATGCATTCTGTGTTGTATCGGAGAATCCTGCTTTTCCCTTTGTGTATATTGGGACCTACTGCTGCTGAGGCTGCTGCCACACTGGTCGTCTTCTCCTGCATTTGTTGTTGCGTTTGGGATAGAAGGGCCAGATCATCAGCGAAGTCTAGATCGTCCAACTGCATCCTAGATGTCCATTGTATCCCGTGCTTCCCTTCAGATGTTGACGTCTTCATGATCCAGTCGATCACCAGGAGAAGGAGAAAGGGTGATAGGCACTGTTGTATAATACCGTATAAAAATAAAACAACTATTCAGTCTTTTTGATTTTAAGTGAATGTCTAGCTCTGGTCAGTTTGTGTTATTATTAAAATTCATTTTTTAAAGAATATCATAAGCGTAATTAAGTAGTTTGTGTGAAACCCAATAACTGTACTGAAAGAGTGATCACGGAATATGAAAGGTATGCATTTTATACCATATAGAGAGTGAAATAGGTGAAAAATCTTTTTGAGATCAAATTCTCGTTCTATGATGAAAGACGTTTACACCGAAGAGAAAATACAGACGTATAATCTTTTCAGATAACATTCAATTAATGGTCGCCCAACGGACTGGTCAGTCAGTCAGTCAGCTATAACGTAGGACGGCGCACATATATGCATCGGTTCAAGTTGCAACACCTCATTAGTAAAACAAGGTCTACACCAAATTCATAAAAGTAGTCACTTCAGTTGTAGTAATATACAAAAAATATTGCATATAACGATACTATACAGTGAGAAAGAATTAGTTTGTAGAAAAAAAGGTATAAAGCAATTTTAATCTCACGGTTTAAGGGAAGACAAAGAGTGAATACACATATGCCATTGTGATCGATTCTGAGCCATGTCAAACACAGTTTCCAACCATTGGCTACGATAGTCACGCGGACCCCAACCAAGCAGTCTGCATCTACCAACATGGCTCAGACTAGAAGTTAGTGACTTTGTGGAGTGATGCCACGTTTTAGTTTGGCTACCCTTAACTTTCTTCCAACCATCCCCAACACTAGTTAGCATTGCGCGCCATAGTAAACGGTGGTCAGGCATACATAACATGTGACCCAATGGACTGGAGACATTGTTTGTCCCTGCAACATATAGAATATAATTGTGTGATGTCAATTTTGTTGGATTCACCAGAATATTATTGTCAATTTACTTTTAACTTGTTATTTTCAAGTTTGGTTTCACTTGAGTTATTCTGACTGAAGATATTAAATATACTGAAAAATGATGAGAATTTTATAGTTTGCGCAAACTTAATGGCTTTAAATAATATCAATACAATTACTTGTCCACTTTCTCCATTTTTGTTTAACTTCATCATAGACCTACTGATGGAAATAACATTCTCGTCGACTAAATTCTCGGGTATTGATCTCCTTCCAGGAGGTCCACTTATCGGCTTAGAATACGCAGATGACATAGTCCTGTTTGGTGAAGACGCTGATAAAATGCAGAGTCTTCTGGTAGCACTAAGCAACAATGCCAGAATGTTTGGAATGCGCTTCTCTCCCTCTAAATGCAAGTCGTTGCTTCAGGACTGGTTTGCGTTAACACCTGAACTAAGGATAGGGAGTGAAGTAGTCGAACGCG